CCTCTCTTTTTGAAATGTGTCTGATTGCATTCATAACAAAATATAAGTTTTATTGAACTTTATTGATGGAACAAAATTCGACAACTCTAAAACCGAGCTCCTTGATAATAAATAATAGTTATGAAAAGTATTACTCAAACTGATGTGTTTGCATTTTCTACACACTGAAAGTAGCGAAAGTACAATACTATCAGATTAGTAGAACAACCAGAATGTATATTTTTCGCTATACATGTAGTATGAATTACCACACTTAAATGGCACTTATTCATAGTGTGTAGTTTGTTTTAATCTGGTTTGTTCTATACTACTACCTCTAAAGATAGAAAGACAGACAGTAAAACATTATACTGTATATAAAATTCTGTTTTTTTACAAATGTAAAGGTATGTTTATTTTTCTTTTGTGTTTTTATTCTTAAGTGTTTATGTAAATCATGTTTCCTTGAAGATGACATGACATTTTCTTGAACTTAATTGTTGTGTAGTCATATAGAGTTTAATGCAGTGATATGGTAGTCATATTCATAACCTTGCATTATCTTTCCCGTCGTTGTTCAGTGGCTTAACGCTGCCCCATATACTTAGTAATTATATTAGTATTAATTTCCATTGGTTCAATATGCTGAATGTATGTCAAAAGAAATATATAGAGAAATATATATACGTCGCAAATAAGTGTTGACTCAACAATACGGTGTCTGCTCTCTTTAGAGAATACGAGTTTTTTGTTTAAAACTTAATTTCAAACTCGTTTCGGTACTCAGTGATGAGATATTCTGTAAATTTGTTCTTTTCATGTATATTGTATGATGGCATCATTGTATTACACGACGAATCTTACCTTTAATTATAGGAATCTTTAATACCATTGCAATTTACTTTTCTGAACATGTTTGAAAACATAAACTTGATTAAAGAGATGCATTTAGTAACCTATGGTGCGAGATATAAATAGCTATTAGAAAGTGGATTAGTCAAGTTGAAGGATTAAGAAAGATAAGAAATGATATTTTGTAAGACTGATTTCTTTGAACGCATTCATCATGCTTAACTCAGTTTCTACTTCTATTTGTGTATTAATGTCATTGTATTGCGCTAATCCTGTAATTAACATGTTTCCACTTTTAGTGAAATTCTACAGCTTCAGGGTTGATTAATACCATTATGTCTCTGGTGTCGTACGATTACGTATTTATTCACGTACGATAGATATATATGTCGTATGTTCGTGTAAACGTATCTTAAAGCATTTAAATCTAAAAGTTAACTTCAAAGTGTGTCATTTAAATCAAATATTGATAAACATTCGAATATGCATTACATTCATCATAACTAAACATAAAGAGATGCTCTGATTTCTTTAGATGTGTATGTTAGTGTGTGTGTGTGTGTGTGAGAGAGAGAGAGAGAGAGAGAGAGAGAGAGAGAGAGAGAGAGAGAGAGAGAGAGGACGATTAGTATCTGTGGATATTAACCCATATTTCATTTCCTATATTAGTCCATGTTTTTGTACAAAGTTAATTAAAGTAACTTTTAACTATTGTTGTTTGCCTGTTTTGATTGTATCTATCTCTTCGCTCGTTCTTATTTCAATTAAAAATGGGGTATGGAGAGAATAAACAAGAGCCAGCATTATCTTGAGCTATTTGGAAATGACAACTGAGCTAGAGGTGCAGCAGTTTAATACATGTGGTCTCAATCATTAGCCCTAGTGAAGCATGTTGATATTCTTTCATACCTGCTACATGTACATATACATGTATATTCAGTGCGAGTTGTCTCTTTTATATATTTGTAGTATTGAAGGTACAATAGAGGGAGAAATTATCACATGATACAAAACAATTCATCAGGTCTAAGACTCCTTACCTACGACATCATAAATTTAAAAGAAAATACTTAATATATAAAAGATAAGCTTGAATTTGGCAATTGGACAAAATAGTATGCAATCTTCTGATTATCCGTCGCTTGCATTGTGTTTTTAAATGATTCATTGGCATATTGAACAATTATTTTTGGTGTTAACAATAATGCCATGGCAACAAATTAAAACAAAATCACCAGGTGGATAAGTTATTTGTAAATGTTGGTGCGAATTCGTCTATTGTGGCGAGAGCAATGAAACAAGTTGAATAGTGAATAGGAGCAAAAAGTACTGATGGAGGCTTAAATAAGTGAAAACTGCGTTCTACCAACATTATTATATGTTCTAGTTTCTGCTCAAACCTAAATGAACCTCATCTCTAATCTGGCAGCTTATCCTAACGAAACACGATCTTATCTTAATCCATGTATATCATTCGACGAGAATAAAATTAGCTACGACAAATGTACGACTGCAAATTGGCAAAAAACAGGGTTATACCGACAGTGACTATCTTACTACTTGTTATATAGTTCATTATCTAATGTATATAACAATATATATGACGAAGTACAAAGATTTATAGATTTGTTCATTTATCCAGATGATAGGTTACGCCCTGTTATTTTTACTTTACTTTCTGATTCACTAAAAACATATTGCATCGATTTTGAACTCTCTAATTCATGTTGATGAATCTGGACTTTTAAAAATTGTGTAATGAATCAATTGGAAGTACAATAAATTCATTTGCATCTTGAAAGTATACAGCATTTGACTAAATTCGTGTCTTATGGTTAGATAAGAGACATTCACGTATCTTCTATTATATGATACATACTAGTAATCACTTGAAATGACTCATCAACGAATTGGAACAGGAGTATCCCGGCAGGTGTCACTAGTGGATCAGGAACTGCTGACCCATTCGGAGCATTAGAGTTCACCTAAGTGTTTGGAGGGGTTCAAAATCATTATGTCGAAAAAGGATAAGACTAAACAATGTCCAACAGACAAAAGAGAAAACGTAAACAACAGTTCACAAAACAATATCCCAAAAATTAAGGATCTGAAAACACGAACTCAACCAAAACCAGGAACTCAAGTACTTCGGACTTGTGCAGTTAAGGTTCCACTTTTGTTACCGGTGCGCTTGTGGGACACATAAAGAAATAAACGAACAAAAAAAAACGTAAATGCCCAGGCTTTAAGAAAGTAACGATTTCATGATCCTCCATACTTTTTTCTTTGTACACTGTAGTTGTTAGACGTGGGATTTGGGTTTCTTCCTATAGAAACTTGTACTACAGAAAGTTTATAGTATGAAAACGTTAACTTACAATAAAGAAATAGGTAAGCGATGAAACTAAACAAAAACAAAAAAAGATGTAGGAGGAAATTTATGACAGCATAAAACGTTTAGAAATAAAGGTATGCAATGATACAAAAGTCTTTTTATTAGCGAATATGATTTTTTATGAAATTTAATAGTAAAAGTGACATAACATGTTCATAGCTCTTCACAATACAGACTTAAATGCTAATTCTGTAGCAAATATAACTGTTGTTCCATTTGTTGCTGAATAATAATTTAAATCAGATCGTATGACTCAAATTATTAATGATTTTCCATTGTATGGTAAAATACTTAGTAGTTTTACCAATACCGTTGGATACCACTAAATTACAGGAATAGAGGTCAAGAAATGAATACAAGGTCACATCAGCACCATAAAACGAACACAAGTGAAATTCCTTCACCGAAGCAAATGATCCAATATCAAATATGTTTTTGTGACGAGAGATGCTCATGAACAATTTTCCAGCCTCTTCTTTTATATATGGAAAAATAAGTTTATTTGATAAGCTTCTACTCAAAAAGAATGAAAATTCGAACTTTTTGGACAACCCGTTGATGGTGAATAGTGTTGATTCAGGCCAAAAAAGGAGGGGGATATATGTAACATATGGGATGGAAAATGGTTCCAATTTAGTTTCAAGTTCATTATTGAAGGTGGCAAAATATATCGAAAGCTTCTTTCGAAATTATAACCTTTCCAACGTTCGGTAAAACATGTCTTTTTCTATAAAGGTAATGATTTGATGCGCCTGAGCTTTCAAGTATACACGTGCTTCGGTTATAGGGGTACCTATTATTTAGAAACGGCGTAGGGATTGCACATATGCATATGAACTCATAAAGAAAAAGGTCAAATGGTTATTAATATCGACGATTGCGGCGATTTTTTGGTACTATATCAAATTTAAAATGTAAAGACTCGCACTGATTGATCGCTTAAAATGTTTTGTTTTAGAATGTCCCCGGTTAGTATTTTCCGCTTCGTTTTTTTTTTGTAGACGTAGATTTGTTATGAGAGTGGTGTCTGTGGAATCATATAGAGCCCTTGTGTTTACTGTTTTGTGTTTCTACCATTTAATACAGTTTACTAGTATAGTATGTTTTTATTATTGTTGTTATTGTATAAACTTTATGATTGTTTATTAATTTGTTTATATTCTGTTTCAAATATTTTTCTACATTATAAGCACTTTAATCATTTTTCAGTTGCATGACGGTAAATAACAGTAAGCACGAGCTGTAGTTTCATTTGTATAAATTTGCTTATGCTGACGTATGCACATCAGCAGTAATATAATTTTTTCTTCAAAAAATTCATTTTTGTTTTAATTTAATGAATTAAAGTGACTCAAGTGAAAATGTATATTTAAGGAATAACTGTAATATTTTTTCTGTCTATGAAGAATTAACATAAAAAATGTGGTGCACACTGAATAACCGGCGTAGCAGGTTATTTAAAAGTGTGCACCACATTTTTTATGTTATTTCGAATAGACAGAAAAAATATTAAAGTAATTCCTTATAATTTAATTCTAAAAAGGAGTAAATAATGATAAAAACGTTGATGACGTCGCGGTCACATGACAAAATTGTGTCTATGAGCTGATAGACAAAACACTTTCAGCCAATCAAAAGACTCGTTACATCCAAAATTAAATTATATAACAATGCTGCTTATTTTATTTTGTTGATACAGATCAGGTGTGCAGAAACTGTGAACACATACCCAGCACTTATGTTATGTTGGAAAGAACAAAAACTATAAAACAGGTTTAGAAAAATAACATAAAAAAGTATATTTAATAAATTAAACTTTGGCAATATCAAATATTGCGTATAATAAATATTAAATACAATATTTACAGCTTTAAAACACAACCAGTTAACAAAAATAAATACTATAATCAAAATATCAATAGAACAAGTGTCAAAACAATATAATAAATTTGACAGCACGACAGAATTAGTTTCATCTTTGGAATGGAGAGATAATGACCGTCGTGCAACGAGACCAATTTGTCCTTTATATTAAAGCCATAAACCGTCCGAGTGTTGTTAGTAATAAAATCAGATTTGAATATCTCTGTATTGAAAAATGCCCTCGCAGTCGATAGAACGTTAACGTTAGTCATATCAATTTCCAGGAAGAGTAATCCACTGAGATTGATGTTTAATAGAATTTTTCATCTTTTTTTCCATTTTATAAAAGATGGAAATTAGAATGTATGACGGTAAATGGTAAAACCATTCGGGATTCATTTCCTGTCACTTCGGAGTGTTATTGCATCGCTGCAATTTTCGATTCGTCCCTGATCACGTCCAGCGGGACTTTCAAACCACGTAAAGTGTTGGCTGAATTTGTTATTACCGTCTCTGCACACGGGCCTGTATCAGCAGTTTAACCATATCTGGAAAAAGAAAAGATTTGTTTTAATGTTTTGTCAAATTAAATAAAGAGTAAAGTTCAGCATGGACAATGGACAATGATTAATCAAGGAAATAAAACACGCACCCTTAAATGTACTTCAACGAGACAGAAATCCAACGACATAAGAATTTAACAATATAACACTATGTCAACATTTACAAATATATTTTCTTAGATCTCCTCAAACAAAGTTGATAATTTTTTTTACCAAAATCAATACACAATATTAAATAGTTGTGAATCTAGTTCATTAAAAATAATATTTTGATTGTATACAACTGACGATTTCAATCTGTTAGCGATATTTCCTTAGTGGGTAAAACTTCAATTTAATGGCCATAACTTTCCTGTTTTAATAAAACCCTTCCGATTAATTGCATTCTACTTAAAACGGTGTATTAAAACAACCTTGATGAAATGTATTTTACTTTCTCATTATTCTCAATACATTACACTTCAGTTCCTAGGCTGAATTTGTAATTAAATATTTATCCCTTGACCTTTTGCGTTCTGCTTTCACATTAGAAAAGTAGCCCCTCGTTATATGCATTTTTTACAAAATAATAGCTTCACTTGAGCATTGAACCATATTTTATGATTAACAAAGGCATATTTGTCAAGTGAGTAGTCTAAAATCGCTTTTTTTAATAAACATTTATAATATTTCCCTAGTGTCTATGGTATCATTGAAGAAATAAAACACATATATAGAAACTTTAAAGCATGTTTGTTTACATTCCAATCCATTCATTATTTAATAATTAAATATGTACACATTAAAATTTAAAATTTATTAACAGGAATGATTACGTGGGGCTTTCAGTGCATTTTTATATATGACCATGTATTTCGCTACTCATTTCGTTTGTAATTTGATTTCAAATGTCAATTTCAACCCATATGTTACACATTATATTGCATCATCAAAAATGCACTGTAGTAAAACGAATCGATTGAACATATCACTTTCATCTTAAAATCAATATTACTAATATCAAATATCTCTAAAAGGTGAAATTCACTGAATATCATATACTCTAAAAGCTTTAGTTCAATTTCTTAACTTTGAATCAAATATTTTCTTGATTAGCTTAATTTCTTCAAATCAAACTAGGCTTTTAAGCATTGGATTTTATTTATTTGACAAGACAAGACAAGACACATAATTACTTTGACAGATATATTATCACTGTCTTTAAACAGAAGTCCATTACTCCTCGTAGTGAGTGTTCATCTGATTTAACTCGTCAAATTAAAGATCAGCTTATTAAGACGTTAGCTGAGAATAGTTATTCTATCTTGTCCATTTAGTAATACTCGGGGTCTATTAATCATGCTCTAAAACGTTTTATATTCTATGCGTGGCTCTCGAAACTGATGGTATTGGGCAAACCCAATAAAATTTTTGAAGAAAAACACGTGTGGTACAAAAATCGGAAGTGCTTTCAGGGTTTGGACTGTAAAATATTATTTTTATGTTTTTTATATTATATTTTTTTAATTTTTTTTATATTAAGTGGAGATTGTCTTATCCAAGTAGTTTTAGTGTCACATTGCATGCATACACAGTTGTTTTATTAGCATACGTCACTTAACAAGATCTTTATTTATGCATCGTATGATCAAGATTGCATCAGTTTATGACAGTAGCTGCCAAGACATGACAAAGAAACGAAATATTGCAAATAATCGCAAAACAAGTTGAAAAGAAAACACGAACATGCACTTTGAACGACATTTCCTTGTCTTTCAAATAATATGGTATGTCTAAAATATCAACCTCATGAGCAGGCCCTTCTTTGATGTAGATGCGAGGTGTTTGGCAATGAGACAGTCACCCTACGACACAAACATCCAAAGGACATTTAGAGGTCAACATAGTTACAATCTTCAACAATAGACAGGTGCTTATACAATATAGCAAGTCCTAAATTATCCCGAGTATACGAACAGTTGCAATGAATTAAACAGAAACGATCTAAAATTTACAATCAACACCAAAATCTCCGGATAAACACAATCATTATGTCAGATATGACATAAAACTAGCTATGCTATTGGTTTTAGTGATTTTTCAAAATTGCAAATAACGTAAATTCTTTCCATGTGTGTTACGTCGTCACAGCTTGCTTTGCATCACATCTTGTCAAATAAATAACATTCAGAAATTTTATTAAAGGTGATGGATATCATTTTCTTCTGGATAAAATATCGCAATAAATGGCTTTCTTTTATTTCAATTTTCTGTTATTAAATTGTGAGCTATTGTTTCGAATTAAGAACTGTTCATAAATTATCTCTGAATCAAATATACATTTAGTTTTATTTTAGTTATCATGACCCTTAACACACATCCTAACACGTAACGACCTAACTAATTTGTTATAATTTGATGTATTGCTGTTTTTCTTTGTTGGAATTATAATGTAGGGGGACAATACCAGTGATTTTGAAATATAAGTTTATTTAAAATATAAAAAAGCAAAGTCACTAGGTTTTAAAAGGTTACCTTATGGACTCTTTTTTGAAAATTTTTAAAAGATAGCAGAAAACCATCATATTTTTGTAAGACCAAATAATTAAAATATAACGTCTTTAAAATATGCACACTCTTATAAAGCATTTTGCAATCGAACATCATATTTATTCAGTTTCACCAAAAAAACTTAAATCGAGGTTTTCTTTAAACAGGTCTGCTGTTATAAGTATATGTTTGACTTGTCAGCTTAATATTAAAGAAGGAAACCAAGGAATTCCTCATATTAAAATATTTCGGGACACAGATTGAAGAATAAAAATACGTACAATGTTAAGAAATGTAAACGCATAAAATAAATTAGGGGAAAGTTATGGAAATGGAGACGAATATGTAAATATACGATTATCAATAATAGGCACTTGTCAAGCTCTAAATTGCTATCTATTTATGGTTTTGAACCTATATATGTATATTTTATAGGGGAAGGTCATTTGTTGTGCCGAAAAATCTGTCAATACGATTTCATTTCATCTTGTTGGTATATTTTTTTTTATCTTTTATCAATACTTTTATAATTTTGTTTGTCTGTGCTGTACCGTCGTTAGACAGTCCGATATATATTAAGTTTTCTGGTTGGTTGTTTTCTATAGACTCTTGTGTATATTGCGTGTATAACTGACAATAAAGCAAATTTATTCATTTTACTTCATCCCCTATTGAGCCTCCATTTAATTAGCTACTGTCGAAGTACCTACTTGATATTATTAGTCTCGCCTGGTGTTCTTGTATGCTATTTATAGCTCATATGAGTAACATTGACATATAATCATCATTCACATCTTCAATTAGTAATCACTTTGATCCTAATTTGTATTTTTATCACGCGTTGTTAATAAAAAATACCTTCAAGGCCCTTACGTTTACAGTAAGTTAAAATGGTCAAGTACGATTTGACATTAAAACACATGAAGTGACTAAAGGTTCTATTTTTGCACCTGCTAATATGCAACTAAGTTCGTAGACTGTTTTAAGTGGGTTGACAATTATATTATATATATCTGAAATTAAAATCTTTGTTTTACCGGAATGAAACAATAGAAAGAATGCCAAATTTAGAACCAAGATAGAGACTCTAACCTTTAAGCGTCATTGAAGATTCCTTTGTTCTTTATATTTAAACATCTGATTGTCACATTTTCTCTTCTGTTGTGCAATATTATCTGTTCTTAACTGGATAATCTTAAAGCCCTATGATTTCAAGCGATCAACTTTAATGCAACTATAGAGATCTTAAAATAGGAGCAGCATAAAAATATGTCTGCTATACGACAATATATTCTTAAAACTGTAGGAAAACATGAACGTTTTTTTTTTTATCGAACAAAGAAGTATACGGGTTTGATATTCATGTACCACTACATCAATTGTTAATAATCCATACATAAAAGAAAAGTGGTTATTTTGAGAATAAGGTTTTAATTTTATTGTTTCTGTTAAATTTATCTCCATCTTTCATAGACTCAGGAAGATTTAAAACTTAATATTTGTCTACTGTTAACGAATGTATGTTGCTCTCTAAAAGTTTTTTTTTATACTCATTAGGTTGCTATCGAGAGGATGTGTATCCAGCACCTCCTTATTGGTATTTGAGCGAGTTTCTTCAGTAACAGTTATACCTGACATTAGTTCGTTATCATGCTCTGAGGTGCAAATGAAACACTTGTTACAAATCACGTTTCTTGATTGATTTTTACTATGAAGTTGTTAGCAGATTAGATTTACTTTTAACTTATGGTATAATAAATGCATATATGTACAGAGGTAACGGTTAATCGAATAAACTAATATCTACGAACAGGATTGTATTGTTTCACTCCCTATACTCTAAACTAAGCCTTAAAGTTTAAATATCTTTCAATTTATCAGAAAAGATCTGCATACTATATTGCTTGCAAAAGTCTTTATATTTGTTTAATTAAGCGTTGGTATGACATTGATATTTGGTAAAGATACACGATTTTAAACTACTGCACAATATTTAATATAGTTTAATATGTCTGCGAAAATTTATTTACAGTTAACAAAAACTGCACAAGGTAAAGATGAGAACAAGCAAATAGCCGATAACGGCAATACCTTGCCGAAATAATTAAACCCTTAAAATTCAAATTCAAATGATAAAATCGGTGTAAGTTTGAATACTATCTAGAAGATACAAACGTTTAAATGTTGACATAATCTGCCAGACCGCAATATTGAAAACTATCTGTAATAAATACGGAAACACGTGTCAAGTTCTGGGTAAAATTCTAAGATTCCACACAGGTTTTCATATATACAATGTTACAATATAAGAATATGACAGAATTTTACCGCAGATAAAAAACCTTCAACGAAATATTTTTATCAATTTTCTTTTATTTCTTCTTTAGAAGATTCTTAATTTTGCAGAAAAAATATAAATTTTTCTTCCGTCTAATACTTTCACACACTTAAATAATTAAATGAGACGACACAATTATGTTTTGTATAGAAAAATGCATGAACACATCTTACATATATAAAAAGAACTTGGTACATTCGAACATACACAATAAATAAATACATTTTCACTTACCATATTTTTACTCTTTATCAGCTTTGCACCATTCGCTTACTAAGTATATTTTTCAAAGCATGTTTAATTCTAATAAGTTTTTTAAAACGTATTCTAGGATATCTTTTCAGTTCACACATAGGTCCTCCCCAGTCTCTTGTACATAGACACCGGCAGTACCCGAATATAGATCTTGGCATTATAAGAGTTCCTCCATTTAGACAACTGTGCGGATTGTAACATCGCATGCCACTGGGTACAGCGGATGACTTCCTAGAACAGCAACTCAATACCACTATAACTACAGTTACTTTGAACACTTTATGTAAGAAAGTTGTCTGCATTGTTAATTTAAACTTCGATTTAGTTTTTCAAAAATTGATGATTTAAAATCTCGTCTTCTTAGTCTGCGATTGAGCAATATATATCTTTCTCGTGTGTAATATCGTCCTTTTAAATGAAAGATTCTAATCTACAATAAATATCATAACACAACTGTTGCATCAGTATCAAGAATTGTAGTTATACACATTATATCGCCTACACCATGTGTTTCAATGTAATATTCAAGTTTGGAGGGCTCAATTTATTAGCAGTCTAAGCCCCGCCTTCTTTTCAGCTATTGGATCATTATTCTCGATGCAATTCCCACAGATTTTATGAATGAACAGGTAAACTAATAATACGTTGTTTAACAACAACAGTTAAATTGATTTCATATACATGTACCTTACCATAAGTTTATTATGACTGAGCTGCCTCCTGCTTTGTTTTTATGTGTGTATATCTGTGTATACAATTATAATTAATATTGATATATGATTTCCATTGCGGATATTTGTTTAAAATACACATCCCCTACTTTGTATGAGTGACAATTAATTAGTGTTTTACAACCACTTCCTTCTAAAAAAACAGTACACCTGTTATTGCGTTATACTACTACATAGGTTAAACCCGTGATTGACAGCTTATTTTAAAGCAATCTGTGATTACATTTAACATACTGTTTTTTTCTTTTATTCATGTGTTCAAAGAATGGAAATCTTACTTTCTTATTATATATTCGTATAAAACACTAGTTATATCTAGGTCGTGTATGCAGTTTTGTAATTAGAGCATAGGTCTGAGCGTAACAGGAACGATTTATTATTTTTGAATTTGTTTAAATCAGACAAAATACACGTATACCTGTACTTATGTTATCTTATAACTTTTATAAAACGTGAAAGTCATAAGCATGCTACACGTAAATTGAAACGTACACACCAGGATGATTTCCGATAAAAAAAAAGGACTTTAGTCATTGAACGTGATGATTTTACTCATTGCACTTTAATACAATTAAAATCGTAATCAATTTAAATACTACATTGACTAAGATATAATTGATCTTTCAATATTGTTTATTTTCCGAACATCATTGATGTTTTTAAGCAAACAATAGATGGATATATCTCAATTTACATTGACAGCAAACATATACTTTATTCTACTATATAGAGAAGCTACATCATTTTTGGTGAATAAAATAAACACTTTATGAAGTGTTTAAAAAGGGATAAAACTGTTTCTTTCTTCTACTTAAATCGCTATTGTAGAATGCCCATGCAGTTTATTAACTAATTGAACTTGACAATTGCAACAAAAACATTCATAATATTTCGCTTATTTGCGTAATTAAATACACTACTTTTTATTTGCAAAACTGAAAATAGTAAATAAAAACTTTCCATGAGGGCATTTAATAGGAAAAACAGGAAAACTCTTAACTATCCACTTCATTAGTTAAAAGGAAAATTCTAATTATTTCATGTTTTAAAAAAACAAGTAAAACGTTCAACAACAGTGCAAGTTACACACAGAATATGAAAAAAAACCCAACTACATTATAGATTCGGTGGGTTCCGAGAGCGGTGCGTTCTGGATTTACCTTAATAAGAACGCGCAAACCGACAAAAAGTTGAAAGGCAAGGATGTATTAATCATCCAATACGTTAGAAGCAATAAGACCATCAGGGACTTTAAAAGAATAGCCAAATTCATCTACGGTCAACTTTGCCCTAAAAAGTTTGGAGCATAGTTTCAGAGTGATTTCAATTTTTTTTAATAGAGAATTTATGATTTTTGTTTTATATAAATCAGGTCAGTACCGAAGCACGGACTATTTGAAGTGATGATAGTACCCTCGGGGACTAACAGTCCACCTATACCAAACAAAAATAACAATTTGGTATGTTCGGAGCGCTTTTCTGTATTATACGGAAGCGTTCATTGATAATACGAAACATATAGTTGTCAAGATTCCAGGTAATGCATGTAGGTAGAATATACAAAGCCAAGTATGCTACTACATGTAAGAGCATACACAATTGAAATACCTAGTGTTACCCACGGACAAGTGTTGGACAAATCAAAAGAAACGAGAAAAAAAAATCATTAAAACTTTCCGACGCTGATTCGAAAATATTTAATACTCATTATATATAAATTCACCTATCAAATAAGCCCTTTACGACTTTCAAATGCAAAGGACATTCTATTCATTTTTCGCTCATCAGCTTGAATATTTTCTGCAAAACTGCTTTTAATTTTTAATTAGAAATTTGTATAAGTCTACACAAGATAATATTTTCTGTAATAAGTCTACCTTATTTTGTTTTCAAAATATTTTGTCTCTGGTGTTCCTTACAAAAATAATCCCTAAAACACGAGTCATGCGCAATGAAATATTCGCCATGCGCAATGTAATATCCGTCATGCGCAATGATATCTGTATTATGTGCAATGGAATCTGTATCAAGCGTTTATATACTAAATTCTATAGATGTTTCGATCATATTTGAAGGGTTGAAATTAAATAAAAATATATCTTAAAAAGACGAAAATAAAATTGCAAATTTACTGCATGCAGTAATAACCTAAATAACACAACAAAAACGAAAACTACCTCTTAAACTGCAATATAACGAGATCAATATCATATTCTGGAACACTATAGATTTTTTTCAATGTAAATAGACTTGCAGGTAGTTCTGTTTTTTTCTAAGATAAAAGTTAGCATTCACACCTTTCTATCAATTTAGATTACAGAAGGTTAAGCATAATAACAATATCATCCTAAATGTCAATGAAGGAACAAGTCACAAAGAAGTGGAACCATGCAATTTGCCATGTATTTTATATCTACCAAGTAAGTACTCTAAAAATGAAAGAGAACAAAACATGTGGTACATGTATTATAACTAACGAGACAACAATTTATCAAAAGACAAAAACAAAACAAAACACAAGGATGTTAATAACTAAAGGTCACATTTCCACTTGTCATCCAAGCAGTACTACCATTTTAGTGTGCATACTTCGAGGTTCTGATAACATTATGTCATCTTAAGGAACATATGTTCAAATGAATACATGACATATAACTGCAAATAGGTTTGGGAAATTCCCCAAAAATTATTTTTCACATGGGAAAATGATTTGAATATTAAATATTCTGAATAATATACTACATGTACATAGATTTTGGTAACAATTTTCCATATTTCCATCAAAATCAAAATGTTATTCACTGCGATACATAGCTATCGAAGAAATGTGGATAGACCACAGCATTTTTTTATATGTGTTTGCATTTGTGTATAATTGGGCACCGAATGACATCCTTAAGCAACATGAATAGATTTGTATCTGAAAGACATCACGTAGTTTTACCGCCTATGGAATGTTGTTTTTTTTTGTTAAGGATGGCATTCAATCTAAATTTACAAAAAATTATATCAATTTGCAATATTCGGTCAAAACTACATTAACACCAACATTAAAGGCCAAATAACACAATTTATGGATATTTTTAGAAATTTTTAAAAATCTGTCAGGTGTTTTTCCATAACATTTAACATTCAAATTACGTTTGGTTCCATAAATTGAAGCAGCTTGGACTTTAGAAAAACAAATCTTTATTTTTTGTTTGATCACATAAATCAATACTTCACCTCTTTATAATGTATATACTACAGAAAAAGAGTTCTGCACTTGCAATAAAAGGTGTTCCCTCTCAACATAAATTCTTCATCCCCGAATAATAGAATGGTTAATCATGTGATGGAATTAAAATAGATTCTACATTTCTCTTCTATCATCATGGTCAGTTAACAACAATGTAAGCTAAAATCATTCTGTTAAATAAGTTGGCTACTGTGGATGTGATTATATCGAAACAAATAAACGCTCAGAGGAATTTAAATTAATGGCGCTCTCCCCCAAAAGCAACATAAATGTTACCAACGAAACCTGCAAATTTACTTCAAAATTTTCATATCAAACTCGTGCATGAAATATGCAACTGACAAAGTTGAAATCGTCTTAAAATCAATTCTTTAAGATACGTCTAAAAATGTATTAGATAACAATTGGTTTTGAAATACTTTGACAAAAAAAAAAACGTAAAACCGTAAGTATCTTTGCGTTTCTTTTTAAATACAAAATGGAGGAAGTTATTGTTTAAAAAACATCTTTGATTAAACTTAGTAGCATAAAAAAAGTCTTTGAAACTGACTTCAACAAGATGTTTGGTTTTTGATTGCCAACATGTTTGCTACGTTTGGAGGATGCATTTTCCAACAAATAATCGGTATTCTTACGGGATTTGACTGGGTTATTCTTGCCGACTTATTCCTTTTTTCATATAAGGCAGACTTCTTACATGAGCTTCTCTTGAAGAGTGAAAAATGCTGGAATGATCCTCAAACTGCGTGATCTGCTATATAGTTGATGTAAGTTCTCTCAATAAAAAAATCTAGGTTTGGTTTTACACATTTATCCGGTCGAACTCGAAATAAATGAAAATAACACTTTATCAATAATGTATACCACTGATACAATAAGGTCTGCCACAGGTTTTGACTTAATATAGAAATTGGCAATGCAGGTCGTTTGACAAGAAAACTTTACGACAAAAGAGATGATTTAAGATTCTCAGTTGTGAACTTTCCATTTTTTTGTAGCAAATGATGAGATACCTAAGGGATATTCAAACTCATAAATCGAAGTCAAACTGACAACGCCATGACAAAAGTAATCGAAAATGCAACATTCCGGCAGCGCCTGAATAAGGAGTATATATCTTCCCAATTGACAAGATATGCCAGTGGTAAAGTTTAAGTCATCCCTGCTGACGTTATTTCGATTTGGTTGACCGTAATGGAATATCTGTGTCACAGCTGGCCAAGGATATGTTTCAATTACCGCAACCACTATCAGTCCTCTTTTCCTCGATTGTGACATCACCGAATAAGACTCATCAGCGAATTGTACTTACCATGAACAACACAATAGCTTTTACTAGTTAAGCAGCATCTCCTTACCCTTCAGAAGCACCAAAGGTCACCTCCAGTTTTTGGTGGAATTCGTGATGCTTAATCTTTTGTTGTCTATGTAGTGTCTTGTGAATCTAGTTGTCTTTCGTCATCTTTCGTTTTTGTCATGAATTTGTCAGTTTCTCACGACTTATGAGTTTTTATGTTCCCTCGTTATCTTTTGCTTCATTTTTGTAATACATAGTAAGCCACTATGTTAGT